TCTGACAGAAGTCTATCTTTAGTCTATCTTTATCTTTAGATTCCTTGATGAGCGCCACAAACATTTTTCTTTTGTGAAGCAATGCATGTTACTCTTATCAAAGAGTAACATGCATTTTCCTTTACAATGATGTCATCGCCTTGTCCATCTTTTTCTGGGATTTCTTGCCCTGAAAATAAAGAAAAGGTTATACTTTCCACACATACAAATCTGCTTGGGGCTCATTCGGATCCCAGTGCCGTAAAGTTTGTCATCAGATGGTTAGAGCGAGGTTTCGTGCCAAGGTAGTGATTTTTTTATTTTGACGGAGCTAACTTATCCAAAAAGAATTTGTATGGTATTGCACCTGGTGGTAGACGTCGAGCAGACATCAAAGAAGTTTAACACAGAATAATAACTGGGCCTTTGGGTCTCCGGTTGTCCATGTCTGCATCCAACTTTAACCTTGGCTTAAGTATCTGTTTGAATCCTTTTTTTGTTTAGCGTTCACATTTACTTCTATTCCTAATTCCCACTTCTATTAGTTTGATTCCTCCTTTAGTCTTCCATGCTTGTGTCGTCTTCCTTTTATTTAGTTCATTTATGTGTCTTCTGTGATATCTCACTTCCTGTTTTATTTTGAGAGTTTGTGTTCCTTATGTTTTGCTTCTGGTTTTGCTTCATTCATCTTTTTTCCTCAATCTGAAATCTCCAAAGTGACACCTGGTGGCCAGTTTGGCTATTGCCATATCATGATAATGGGCATGATGTTTTACTCAGGGTCTGGAGTTTTTGTCATAGCGAACTTCCTGCTGTTCTTTATGAGAGATTCACACCAGAAGCATCAGTGAGAATTTAAAAAAAAACCTGTTAAGAAGTAGGTCACCTCTAATTAATGAATTTGTTTTTCTAACATTTAATTTTCAGGTATAAATATATTCCTTATGTCAGTGCAGTATATGAGTAATGTTATATACTGACCATGAAGTCAGTTAATGCAGTAAATAACATTTTACAGAGAACAGACGGAGTCATAGCTGTAAAAGTCTGTTTTATTAAAACAGAGGCTGTTTGATCTTAATGAATTTACAGTACATTGTGCCATTCTCTCCTTGCTGATATGAGTGAATGGAGCTCCAACTCCAGTGGCTGACTTTCTAACTTTCACTCATGACAGTAACCATTCGAATAAGATATTTATGTATTATTTATATAATATTTCTTTAATTACACTTTGGATTGCAGTGTATAAGTGACTGGATAGTCTATATTGATCTTTACCATACACAACAAAAATGATAATAATGAGATGAGGTATTGTTTTCTGTTACACATGCTCCTGTAAGAAATAGAACCGCAAATATAAAAAAAAATATTATTTGATTTGTGTCTGTCTATCAGTTGAAATCACCATCTCTTGTTTTGTTTAGCTCCCTCTGCTTCCCTGAGTCTGCATTTTGGGTCCTCGCTCACTAACATCTGACACATCATGGGAAGGCTTTGCACAACTAAAAGCCTATTCCACAGGGTGGCTGTCCCAAAGGTCCAGCACCTGATTTCTTCAATTCTAATATATAAGAAGGGATGCTAGTAGAAAGGATGACTCTTTCCTTGT